CCAACATCACCCTGATCCCGAAACCAGACAAAGACACTTCAAAGAAAGAAAACTACAGACCAATATCTCTAATGAACTTGTATGCAAAAATTCTCAATAAAATCCTGGCGAATCGAATACAAAAGCTTATCAAAAAAATTGTGCACCATGATCAAGTAGGATTCATCCCTGGGATGCAAGGCTGGTTCAATATACGGAAATCAATAAATGCTATTCACCACATCAATAGACTTAAAGACAAGAACCATATGATCATCTCGATAGACGCAAAAAAAGCATTCGACAAAGTACAGCATCCCTTTATGTTCAAAACACTAGAAAAACTAGGGATAACAGGAACTTACCTCAACATTGTAAAAGCTATATATGCTAAACCTCAGGCTAGCATCATCCTAAATGGAGAAAAACTGAAGGCATTCTCTCTAAAATCTGGAACAAGACAGGGATGCCCTCTATCACCACTTCTATTCAATTTAGTTCTTGAAATACTAGCCAGAGCAATTAGACAGACAAAAGAAATTAAAGGCATAAAAATAGGAAAAGAAGAACTTAAATTATCACTTTTTGCGGATGACATGATAATATATTTAACAGACCCAAAAGGGTCTACAAAGAAACTGCTATTGTTAATAAGTGAATTCAGCAAAGTGGCAGGATATAAAATCAACACGCATAAATCAAAGGCATTCCTGTATATCAGCAACAAAACTTCTGAAATGGAAATGAGGAAAACCACTCCATTCACAATATCCTCAAAGAAAATAAGATACTTGAGAATCAACCTAACAAAAGAGGTGAAAGATTTATGCAATGAAAACTACAGAACCCTAAAGAGAGAGATAGAAGAAGATCTTAGAAGATGGAAAAATGTACCCTGTTCATGGATAGGCAGAACTAACATCATCAAAATGGCGATATTACCCAAAGTTCTCTATAGGTTTAATGCGATGCCAATCAAAATCCCAATGACATTTCTTGTAGAAATAGAGAAAGCAATCATGAAATTCATATGGAAAAACAAAACACCCAGAATAGCAAAAGCAATTCTAAGCAGGAAGTGTGAATCTGGAGGTATAGCGATACCAGAGTTCAAACTGTACTACAAAGCAATAGTAACAAAAACAGCGTGGTACTGGTACCAAAACAGGCAGGTGGACCAATGGTACAGAATAGAGGACACAGAAACCAATCCACAAAACTACAACTACCTTATATTTGATATGATAAAGGGGCTAAAAGCATGCAATGGAGGAAGGATAGCATCTTCAACAAATGGTGCTGGGAAAATTGGAAATCCATATGCAACAAAATGAAACTGAATCCCTTTCTCTCACTATGCACAAAAGTTAACTCAAAATGGATCAAGGAGCTAGATATCAAATCAGAGATACCGCGTCTGATAGAAGAAAAAGTTGGCTACGATCTACATACTGTGGGGTCGGGCTCCAAATTCCTTAATAGGACGCCTATAGCCCAAGAGTTAATAACAAGAATAAACAAATGGGACTTACTCAAACTAAAAAGTTTTTTTCTCAGCAAGAGAAACAATAAGAGAGGTAAATAGAGAGCCTACATCCTGGGAACAAATTTTTACCCCTCAAACTTCAGATAGAGCCCTAATATCCAGAATATACAAAGAACTCAAAAAATTAAACAATAAGATAACAAATAACCCAATCAACAAATGGGCCAAGGACCTGAACAGACACTTCTCAGAGGAGGACATACAATCAATCAACAAGTACATGAAAAAATGCTCACCATCTCTAGCAGTCAGAGAAATGCAAATCAAAACCACCCTAAGATACCATCTCACTCCAGTAAGATTGGCAGCCATTATGAAGTCAAACAACAATAAGTGTTGGCGAGGATGTGGGGAAAAGGGTACACTTGTACACTGCTGGTAGGACTGCAAATTGATGAGGCCAATTTGGAAAGCAGTATGGAGATTCCTGGGAAAGCTGGGAATGGATCCACCATTTGACCCACCTATCACCCTTCTCGGACTAGTCCCTGAGGATCTTAAAAGAGTGTACTATAGGGATACTGCCACATCAATGATCATAGCAGCACAATTCACAATAGCTAGACTGTGGAACCAACCTAGATGCTCTTCAATAGATGAATGGATAAAAAAAATGTGGCATTTATACACAATGGAGTATTACGCAGCACTAAAAAATGACAAAATCATAGAATTTGCAGGGAAATGGATGGCATTAGAGCAGATCATGCTAAGTGAAGCTAGCCAATCCCTAAAGAACAAATGCCAAATGTCTTCTTTGATATAAAGAGAGCAACTAAGAACAGAACAGGGAGGAAGAGCATGAGGAAAAGATTAACATTAAACAAAGACGAGTGGGGGGAGAGAAAGGGAGAGAGAAGGGAAAGCATATGGAAATGGTAGGAGACCCTCAATGTTATACAAAATTACATATAAGAGGTTGTGAGGGGAAAGGGGGGGGAAACAAGGGAGAGAATTGAACAACAGCAGATGAGGTAGAGAGGGAAGATGGGAGGGGAGGGGAGTGGAGATAGTAGGGGATAGGAAAGGTAGCATAATACAACAGTCACTAATATGCCATTATGTAAAAATGTGAGTGTGTAACCGATGTGATTCTGCAATTTGTATTTGGGGTAAAAATGGGAGTTCATAACCCAATTGAGTCAAATGTATGAAAGATGATATGTCATGAGCTTTGTAGTGTTTTGAACAACCAATAAAAAAAAAGACTCCAGAGCTAAACCTGATTTATAAATATGTAATTGTTTTCTTCTTATTTTTTTATAGTTTTAACTCTTATATTCTGGGGTAAGATTAATTTCATGTCAACTATTGTACATAATCTCATGTAAAATCCAATAACATTTTTGATATATGAATATGCAATTACATCAACCTGGCTTATGGAAGAGACTAGTTTTTCTTCATTTATTTTTTCTGACAAAATTGTCAAAATTAAATTACCAGAGATGTGGAGTTTGAAATAAAATAAAATACTAGGACTTGGGATGTAGTTCAATAGTAGAGCACTTGCATAGCATGCACAAGGCCCTAGGTTCAATTCCCAGAACTGGGAAAAAGCCAAAACAAAGCCAAAAGCAAACCATTGTAATTCATGCTGTGGCCTTGCGTGAAATCTTCAGTAAGATTTGTCAACCATTATAGAAACTGATGGTAGAGTGTCTCTGATATTTGGCAAAGCTGTGGCATAACAAAAAGAGAATAGGATTTAAATTTTGAACTATTCTTATGAATCCCAGAGAACAATACATCTTCGATATCCACAAGTTCTGTATCGTGGATTCAATCAACCACAGATCAAAAGTGTTTTAAAAAATTGTACCTGTCTGTAACATATATAAGCTTCTTTTTCTTGTCATTATAATTAAACAATAAAATATAACACCATTTACATATCAAGTACATTATATTAGATGTTATAAGTAAGTAATCTTGAGGTGATTTAAGTATATGGGAGAATGTATGCAGGTTCGAATACTAAGCCATTATGTAAAAGGAACTTGAGCAATACTCAAGTTTTGATATCTTTTGGGGTCATGGAACCAATTCCCTGCCCCCATACCTAAGGGTAACTATAATTCATTTAAGCTCTCTGAACTGCAGTATTCCCATTGGTAAACCATATATTTGTGTGTATAAATAATAGATATAAACAAAACCTATTTGTAACACATATAGATAATCCTCAATTTTTAAAAAAATGATCTGTTTTATTTTTTTACTTTATAATGTGCAAAAGTAATACATATTCAATAGAGAACATACTTTGAATTTCAATTTGGATCCATTCTTTGGCTATTGCTATGTGGTTCAGTTCTCTTTTGAGATGGTGCACAGTGAGCCCAGTCAGCTCCTTGATTATCCAGGTGAACAGGAGTCTCTCTACAATGTGTCACATTGCAAAGATAACATGTTCAAAATATGTTAGACACATTCAGTGCATTTTTGACTTATTCAAATAACCCCACATTATGATGGGGTTATTTGGATATCAAGGAGTATCTCATTAAGTGTATATAACAATTGTGGTGAAAAGTCCCAAATATCAGACTATGGTTTGATGGTGTTTGGTCTTTACTCAAACCTTTTACTGAGGCATTTCACATTTCATTGTCATCTTTCTTCTCACCTCTGGCATCAAAGGCACTTTCAGGGTTGCTGGATTGCACGACCACTCTCAGACCAATGTTCTATGAAGTAGTTTACTAGAACTGAAAAACTCAGGTGTATTGTTTTTGAAAAAGAACCCAGTTTTACCAACTTTTACACTGGTCTGTTATTCATTAGCATGTCTCTGGTGCTTTTATAAACATTATCAGTCCTCCTATAATCAGCCTGCTTGGTGGCATTTTGTATCCCAGATGTCAGACAAAGACACTGAAGTTACAGAGATGGCTTGTTCAGAACTCTAATCTCCTTTATGATAAGCCACATTTCTTTCAGGAAGCAGTATCTTTCTTTTTAAGGTATGTGCTACGGTTTGGCTCTTAAATGTCACACAAAGGCCATATGTTAAAGGCATCATCACTAGCCTGTGATGCCACTGGGAGGTGCTAGAACCTTTTTAAGGTGGGGCCTAGTGGGAGGAAGTTAGGTTACTTGGGGTGTGCACTTGAAGGGGATATTAGGCCCCTGGTCCCTTTGTCTCTCTCTCTCTCTCTCCTTATTTCTCAGCCATCATGAGGTGATCAACTCTATTTCATCACTAGCTTCCACCATGATGTTCTGACTCACCACAGGCTCAAAGCAAAAGAGCTAAGTGACTATGGAGGGAAACCTTTAAATCCATGAACAAAATAAATCTTTCCTCCTTGTGAGTTGATTTTCTTAGGTATTTTGTTATGGGAATGGAAAACTTATGAATACATTATGTTCATTAACAGGCTAGGCCATTTTCTAGTCCTTCATTTGTAAAGCCCATCATTGTCTCAAACTTAATAATAAAATAAGTGAAATAATTCTGAATGGCACTTACTGACTTGTGGTTGAATAAAGGATTCTAGAGCACCGAGGCTTGGCTAAAGATCTGGTGTCTCCAAAAGGGTTGTCCACATCATCAGCATTTGTAGTCTGCACATGACCACTGTTAAAATGAAAAGAGTAGAAAATCCATGTGTCTTCATATGAAACCTAGGAGGAATAGTTGGACAGGGTTCTAACTTCTAAAAGAAAGCTCAGAATGTTAAAAATGAAGACATAACGATGGAACAATTTCCTAAAACATACAAATGATCAAATCAACCAATGGAGATTTTTTTTTTTCTTCAGAGATGCCATGCTGTTTGATCTTAAGTTTAAGGCTGATGGACAATAACAACAACTTTATGTTTCTAAATAAAGAAGTAACGGTTTTGGTTTCTGCAGTCCCAGGAAAAACCCTTCTGTAGACACCGGGTGGGTACTGAGGCATGATGGAAGTTATTATCTACCATAGGCAATAAGTTTCCTGCAGAATGGGAGTCTAGTTAGATGGTTGGAAACTGTCAATGGTGATGAGCCCCTGGGAGCTGAAAGAAGGTCAGGAGGTGAGTCCTGTCAGTTGGAGAGTGTTTCAAGGAGATCTGGGGCCATCTATAGAGACACTAATTAATTCTATCATAGGCAAGAAGAGGAGACAGTGATGAGTAGGGGAGGTAAGGACTAAAGGTTTAGATCCTCTTCCATGATCTTGAATCTACTCCATTCCTGGGTTATTCTTCAAATTAAAAAAAAATAAAAGAAGATCCCCAAAAGGCACAATTAAAAAAAAATAAAAGAAGATCCCCCAAAAAATAAAAAAAAGATGTATTTCCTTGCCATTCCCAGAAAGCCAGATTTAAATGCGTAAGAATAAGAGGTGGCATTTCCTGCACTTAGGTGTCAATGAGCACCTCTCCTTTCCCATGAATTATAAGACTCTTTCTTTTTGAGAATACTACTAGTAACACCCATGATATTGATTTTATAAAATATTCTATTTGTAAAAACAGAAAAAAATATTGCTCTTTTTATTTTTAACTTAATCAAATTCTTTAATAAACTTTTAATGACATCCTGACAGTGATCAGTCTGTATGCCAGGAAAACATTATAAATCTGCCAGAATACATAGTTGTTCTAAAAAGTGAAGTACAAACATAAGTGAGCTAAAAGCAACTACTATTTAGATATAAATTTCATGTTCTTTAAAACAGAGAGAGACATTACTTACGTATAGAGAGGAATGTATTGACTTCTAGAACTTGGACTCACACTTAGAAAAAGAAAATATAAGCAGTTTTATTATTGAAATTATTAATGAATGATTATAGGATTTCTCTTATTAATATTAAAAAATTTCAGATATCTCTCATCGGAATTGATCTCTAAAAGTTTATAATCTTAGAAATAATCTAAAGATATAATTTTATCTTTTCAGAATGTCATATAAATTGAACCATATGATAAATAACTCTGTGTATGACTGTTTTAATTGACCAAAATATATTTAATATTTGTCCCTATTGTGTGCTGTATGCACATGCTTTTTTATTGCTGAATAGTACTCCACAGCATGGAAATATTCTAGTGCGTTTATCTATTCATCTACTTAAAGACATCATGGTTGTTTCCAGGTTCTGGAGATTATGAATAGACACTCACAAATAGGTTTATGTGTAGACTTTTGGGAGCAAATTTTCATAGAGGAGGGCTTAAGGGTGCACAGTACCCTAACTGACTGAGAAAAAGATTTCATTTGCTAGCTGATATATCACCAAAATGAAAATAAAAATGCAGTACATTCATATAAACTGAAATAGTATTTCCCAATATGGGTGAGTTATTTGAACATATGATATGGAAATAAAAAGATGCAAGTAAAAATATTTAATTAACATTCACATATTAAGAATTAGTACTAAAAATTCATGTGTTTTGTATTAAAGACATTTGAATGTTCAACATTTCCATCTTGCTGTATACATGAGTGTTTCAATTTTTATATACAGTATCATCATCATTCAATTTGTATCCTGGAGAAATTGTTAAGGTTTGGATATGAGTTGTTCTCTGAAAGCTCATGTGTGAGACAACTCAGAAATATTCTGAGGTGAAATGATTAGATTATGAGAGTTATGACATGGTGAATTAATCCTTTTGAAAGATTAATAATTTGAAAGGACTACTGTATTGGGTGGTAACTGTAGGCAGGTGAGATGTGGCTGGAGGGAGTTGATTACTGGGGGCATGTCTGGGTTTATAGTTGATCCCTTGTGCATTGACATCTCTCTCTCTCTCTCCACCCCCCCATTTCTCCTTCCCTCCCTCCCTCTCCCTCTTTTCTGACTGCCATGGTTGAGCAGCTTTTCTCTGCCATATTCCTCCACCTTAATGTTTGGCCTCACCTCAGACCCACAGCAATGGAGATGGCCAATCATGGAATGAACATCGGAAACCATGAGCACCAAACTTTTCCTCCTCTAAGTTGTTCTGGTCAAGTGTTTTGGTCATAGCAACACAAAGCTGACTAACATAGTGATTTACATACTTGGCAAAATGACATTGTAAGTAATCTCTATAAAAATCTTGCACATTAGATATGGATCAATAAGATATAAGTTATTTTGTGAGAATCAATATTCTTTTCAAAAATTGTCCCTACTTGCATTTGTGGATCTTGTAGTGGTCCTTGGTTATGGTTTTAAATATTTCCATTTCATTATTCCTTTCTTTCTAATGATAAGAAATCCCTTTTAAAGTTACTTTATAGTAGATTTTTAAGAAGGGCAATATTCAAAGATGTAAAAAATGTGATTCTTGATATTATTTTTTTAATAACTGAAATTTATGAAAATACTCTCATTAATTTTTCTAACTGTGGACAAAGTCTCCTGTATTTCACTTTGGAATCAATTGTGAATCAGTAAATGTATGATTAAATGTGTAAGAGGAACCCTCCTATTGAGGTGATGATCAAATTGATTATCATAAAAGCAGAAAATCATATGAAACTCCAGAGAGCAAAAGATGGGATGACATCTTCCTGGAAAGCACATCTTTTCTTTTTGTGATGACTGTCTCAGGCTACTCTTTGTAACTGACTACATTATTTGTTGAAAAGCACATAGTTCTGTTTTAAAACTAATGTTTTCTACTCTATTTAACTTTTGAAAATGTTGGTTGTGACTCACCATCAACAGTTGGAAACATCAGGCTACAAATCATCCATTAAACTATTTAACAATGTCTACTCAGTAAACCAAACTGGGATAATTGCTTATTCGTGTTGAGAGAATGGATCCCTAACTCATATCATAGATAAGGGCAAATATCAATTATTTTAAACAGATAATTGTGAAAAACAAAACTTCAAATATTTTAGAAAAAAACCTAAGACAAGAAAGACTATCTTTTATTGTTTCAGAGTAGGAAAAGTTTATTTAACACTCCACCACAGCAATGAAACCTGAAGGAAAACATTGATGGAATAAATTAAAATTCAAAACTTCAGACACTTTAATACAGAAAAGTCACAGACTAGAAGAAGTTATTTTGTGACTATTACTAATAAAGGATTTTAATACAGAATATTAAACATAAAGGTTTCTATAATCAGTAAGTAAAAGACAAGGACACCAACAGCAAAAGGGGCGAAATAAGATAAGTTCAAAATGTGAAAATTCAACTAATTCATAAACATACAAAAATGATTATTAGTAATCAGGTAGGTGTAGGATGATACTGTAATGAAGTACAATTTCATTCTTCCAAGACTGAATGATTTTCAATCTGAAAATTCTAAAAACTTTCCACAATGTGCAGTAATGGGAACTTAAGCACTACCAGGGAGAGAACCCTTTGGTAAAATTCATTTGAAGAATATGAAATATCATTGGGTGCAGTGGCCAATGCCTCTAATCCCAGTAGCTTGGGAGGCTGAGGCAGGAGGATCAAGAGTTCAAAGCTAACCTCAGCAAAAGCGAGGTGCTAAGCTACTCAGTAAGACCCTGTATCTAAATAAAATACAAAATATAGCTAGGGATGTGACTCAGTGGTCCAGTGCCCCTGATTTCAATTCCTGGTATACCCTCCCCCACAAAAAAAGAAATGGAAAATCTAGAAGGTTCAGAAGAAGTATACACTGCTTGAGCAAGCAATTATGACACAATTTCCATATATAAAAACTAGAAATATTTTTATATTTGTATATGTGAAAAATGTAAATGCTGTTCCAACTCTGATAAAAATTAGATTTAAAATTACATTATAAGGATATGAATAAATTGTGGTGAATCTATTTAGTGGAAGACTACACTGTAGAGAAAACAAAAATCTAGAGACAGTCAATACCTATGTGTCTTGCAAGCACAATACAGGACAGAATGTTAGATGGCATAAATATGCATGATAATATTTATGTTGAGTTTATAAACAAGAAACCCAATATCATACTGTCTCACAGATGCTGGACTGAGGATTGCTGGAACACTCTTTTATCAAAGAATAGGCCCCTCTTCTGTCCCTCTAATCCTTGAGTTAGGGCATCAGATAATTCATGATAAATGTGTGATGGTTATAAATTTGAAATGAGGACCTTAGGAGATCAAACTTACAAACTGACTGGTTTGACTGGTGCTAAGAATGATCTTGTCTGAAATCTGTCCCAGAGTCCACCGACCATCTAAAATCATAACCAAATAAGAGACAGTTAATGAACAAATCACTGTCCCCTCAAAGATACAGACAGGCTCTAGCATCCTTTCTAGCACTCTCACATCAGGATGGAGCACAGACTCTCTGTGAAGGCACTCTCTAGGCATTTCTGCAACTCAGGGCTTGATTTCTGAGTCACTCTGGGTCTGTCTCCACTCTACACTTTGATTCCCTTTTCTAACTTGTTTTCTCCCAGCTGGAATCTGCCTCAGATCCACCTCCTTCAGCCCCAAGCCTCTGTGAAAAGTCTGGTTTCAGTTTCATCCAGTTACTGCCCTCAGGTCCACCTTAGTGCCCCTTTCCAGCCCAGCCTAGCTCCTAAGTCCTGAACCTCATTTTTCCTGGGGAGGATTTTGGATGCTAATATAATTTAACACTTAGGAAAAATATAATGTTGAAACCAATTTTTGCATGATATAAAAATATTTTGAAGTAGTTGAGAGATCCTCACAAATAGATGGAACCATAAAAAATTTTGTTTGTCCTTTAATTGATCTTAATTTCTATGTGAAAATCCCAGGTTTGATTTTTTATATTGAAGCTATGTATTTCTGTCTTATTATCATTTTTCTCCATAAAAACTGAAGAAAATTTACCAGATAATGTGTGCTTCTTAATTTGTGGTTCACCAACCTCTTAAGGATCCACATTTCTTACTGTACTTCAATACAACTGACATCTTTTTCAATCCTATGTATTTTGTATATTCAAAAACTTTATTATGAGAAGTAATCAACTGCTTAACTAAACTTTATGTAGTGAGGTATGTCAGCAAAGGATGAGGAATCAATGGAATTAGCAAGTGTGTTTCTACTTCCAATCAATGGAAGTAGAAAGTAGAAGAAAAAGCAGAGATATCTAATGCAGAGTTGGGAGGTCAAAAGTGAGGACTGAGATCTCAAGAATGCTTTGGGTTTAGCCTGGAACAAAGAAAGGGGACCAAGGCAAAATAACACTGCAAAACACAAGATCTTAGAGGGAACATGGCAGACTTGGGGACTAGGAAAAAGTTCAACAGAGAGAATTTGGAATGTTATGGATTGGTGTTTGGGTGATAGAAGGGAAAGCCAGAGGAAAAGAACATTATGTAAGGGAGAAAAGGGGGCTATGGCTAAATATGGAATATTGGGCATGTGTCATGTCTAGAAGCACGGATTTGATAGTTTTAAAAAGACATGTTTAATCATAGGAGGAACATTAACAGATTCACAGTTTAGAAAAATACTCTTTGGAATGAATATAATCTATGTCACAAATTCTCTTAATATTCACAAATTAAAAAAGAGGACATCTCTCCTCACAGCTTGGTATGCTTTATCATATCACATAATCAGAGAAAGCATACAGCAATCTATAATTCATAGATCTTCCCCTTCTGCCTTGAAGAGCACAGAAAGAAGTTCTAGAACCTATTTTCAGAACTATTCTCAGCATATATTATCTGTTGGAATCTTTTGTTTCTGTCTCCTTCATTCTTTTACTTATTCTATAGTAATTTTTTAAAAAAATAAAGTTATTGCTAATGAGTTTTGAGAAATAATCCCATAATAAAAATTTTCAGAGTTGATAATATTAAAATATTTGCAGTTAGTAATGGCATTCATGATTAAGGAACTTTCAACTTCATATGTAATTCTTAACCAAAATACTATTGTGAACCAAAGTTTTGGAGTCCAGTTCATTAACAGTAACAAACTCAAGGATGCTCAAGCAGTGTTCACAGACCTGGGTTATTGCTGGTACTCTTTCATATCTTTTCAGTGTAAAACACTGTGAGATGAGGTCAGCCGCTTTCTCTACTGTTGTTATTTCTGGATCTAGTTTTGGTGGTAGCATTTTGTCCCAAGGAACAGCTTCATAAGCTCTGGGGAATTATTAAATAAGAACAGTTTATGCAAAACACACAGTCAATTGATGTAGTTCATAACACCATCACATTCTGTGACATTCTTTATGACCACCCCCTGCCCCGATTCCTGCTACTTGGGGTACACCACAGATGGAATCCCCCATGCCCTCTTAGTGTGGCAGCAAGTAAACACAATGGGAGAGTATACCTATAATATGTCACTTTATGTGGCAAAGGGGACTGAGCATATGTAACTAAGGTCCCTAGTCAGCTGAATTTGAATTCTCAAAAGGTAGATGTCATGAATGGGACTGCCTAAACAAATGAACCCTAAAAAGTGACAAAACAGTAGCAGATATTCTTTGTTGTTGAAAAAACAAAGATTGTGAGCTGCAACAAACTGAATTCCACCAACAGCCCAAATGGTCTTGGAAGATGAGGACATTGTCCCAGCAGACACTTTCATTCCCACTTGGAGGGTCCAGGACAGTGAACCCCATTGGGACATGTCTGGACTTTTGATCAACAGAACTCTCAGACAGTAAAAACTGCTGACCTATTCTTTTGCTACCATTACCCCCACCCCCAACTCCGCCCTGCACTTGACCCTGGCTCCAGGCATGCTGGCCTAGTGCCCTCCCACAACACCTTAAACACTTCCAACGGGGGCTTTTGTGCTATGCTCCCTCTGCCTGCAGTTTAGTTGCTCTCTCCCAACATCCTTACAACTTTTTCTCTCCTCTTCCAAGTTTCTGTTTAAACCCATTGCTCAAGGAGGCCTCTCCACACCTTCTGCAGATGCCTGAAGTCCGCTATCCCATACTTGTGGCATTCTACTTTTCCTTTCTTTTTTTAAATATCACTTTCTAAAGCAATAACTATTTACTCTCTATCTATGTGTTTCCCTCCCTTTAGAATGAGAGCCTTTGAGAACAGAGACCTCACTTTGCTTTGTTCATGGATAATTTCATAGTCTAGCACATGGGCTCCTGAGTCACTGCATTCTCCTGTAAGCTTTCTGTGGTGTGTGCCATTATTCTCTATGACACTGTGCTCTCCTCTAGTGTGTGTATCTGTCTGTCTGTCTCTCTCCATTTCCTTTGTCTTGATTTTATTAACTATCAAACGTAGATGTTCTTTAAGACCTTGAAATGTTTATTATTTAGCCAACATGAGTAAGTAAATGTCTGTTTGGTGTTTTCTGAATTACTCATAGGATCCAGGGTATTATCAACCCATTACATGTGTCATTAAGGATAAAGAAATATATTTTAAAATGAAAATTCTACTGGGGAAAAAAACTTACTTCTGTGTAGAGGACTTGTAAAATGAGTTCTTGACATTATATTTCTTTTTTGGTTTAGCAAGTGCCTCACCATCCTCCTGGAAGACATGAATAGTAAGTTAAAAGAGATCAGGTGTAAAGAGAATTGCTATTTTTTTCTTTTCACCATGTTTTCTTTTATTCTTTATTCCTTTTTTTTTCAAGACCATCTTGGATTGACAAGTTTTAATATATCTTTTTCCTCTTTCATTTACAAAAGAATTTTGAATTTAGTTAAAAGTAAGATTTTTATAAGAAAGCATTTGACTTTTAAATTGGCAAACATTTAGTTTTGGCACAATGTAATTTAAACATTTAGAAACATTCATTGGTCTGGGAGATTTGTTCTGAGATACCTCCATCTCTTTGTCTTTCATCTTAGTTTGCCAAAATTATATAGCTATTTATTATTATAATCATTATTATAATCTTTACTGGTTACTATTTTTTATTTGTTCTTTTTAGATATACATGACAGTAGAATATATTTCGATCTATTATACATACTGGTGTATTATCTTCCATTTTTGTAGTTGTACATGTTATGGAGTTACACTTGTCATGTATTCATATATGAATGCAGGAAATTTATGTCCAATTCATCATACTATCTTTCCTATTCCATACCCCCTCTCTTCCATTCATTCCCCTTTGTCTAATACAATGAACTTCTATGCTCCCCCCCACATTGTGTGTTAGCTTCTGCATATCAGAGAGAACATTTGACTTTCGGTGTTTTGGTGATGGCTTATTTTACTTAGCATGATAGTCTCCAGTTTCATTCCTTTACTGGCAAAAGGTATATCATCATTCTTCTTTATGTCTGAGTAATATTCTTGTGTGTGAGTGTGTGTGTGTGTGTGTGTGTGTGTGTGTATCACACTTTCTTTTCCTGTTCATCTATGAAGGATTCCATAGTACAGCTATTGTGAATTGAGCTGTTATAAGCCTTGATGTGGCCATCTCACTGTAGTATGCTGATTTTAAGTCTCTGGGTATATACCAAGAAATGAGATAATTGTGTCAAATTGTGTTATCATTCCACCTTTTCTGAGGAATCTCCAGAGTGGTTATACCAATTTGGAGTTAGTCTCACTGGCAATGTATGAGTGTACCTTTTACCCCACATCCTCACCAACATTAATTGTTACTTGTATTCTTGTTGATTGGAGTGAGATGACATCTCAGTGTAGTTTTAATTTGCTTTTCTCTAATTGCTAGAGATGTTGCACATTTTTCCATATATTTGTTGACCACTTGTATTTCTTGTTCTATGAAGTGCCTGTTCATTTTCTTTTATTGATTGGGTTATTTGTTTCTTTGGTGTTAATTTTTTAAAGTTCTTTGTTTATACTGGAGATGAATGCTTTATCTGAGGTGTAGGTGGCAAAGGTTTTCTCCCATTCTGAAGGCTCTTACTTAATGTTCCTGATTATTTCCTTTACTCTGAAGAAGCTTTTTAGTTTGTATCCATTCCATTTATTGATTCTTTTTTTTTTAAATTTTTTATTGTGGGTTGTTCAAAACATTACAAATTTCTTGACATATCATATTCCACACTTTGATTCAAGTGGGTTATGAACTCCCACCTTCACCCCATACACAGATTGCAGATTCACATCAGTTACACATCCATTGATTTACAAATTGCCATACTAGTGTCTGTTGTGCTCCGCTGCCTTTCCCATCATCCACCCTCCCCCCTCCCCACCTCTCCCCTCCCCTCCCCTCCTCTCTCTCTACCCCCTCCACTGTATAACCCTGAGGGTCTCCTTCCATTACCGTGCAATTTACCTTCTCTCTCCCTTTCCCTTCCACCTCTCATCCCTGTTAAATGTTAATCTTCTTCTCCTGTTCTTCGTCCCTACTCTGTTCTTAGTTACTTTCCTTATATCAAAGAAGACATTTGGCATTTGTTTTTTAGGGATTGGCTAGCTTCACTTAGCATAATCTGCTCTAATGCCATCCATTTCCCTGTAAATTCTATGATTTTGTCATTTTTTAATGCAGAGTAATACTCCATTGTGTATAAATGCCACATTTTTTTTATCCATTCGTCTATTGAAGGGCATCTAGGTTGGTTCCACAGTCTTGCTATTGTGAACTGTGCTGCTATGAACATCGATGTAGCAGTGTCCCTGTAGCATGCTCTTTTTAGGTCTTTAGGGAATAGACCAAGAAGGGGAATAGCTGGGTCAAATGGTGGCTCCATTCCCAGCTTTCCAAGAAATCTCCATACTGCTTTCCAAATTGGCTGCACCAATCTGCAGTCCCACCAGCAATGTACAAGTGTACCCTTTTCCCCACATCCTCGCCAACACTTATTGTTGTTTGACTTCCTAATGGCTGCCAATCTTACTGGAGTGAGATAGTATCTTAGGGTGGTTTTGATTTGCATTTCTCTGACAGCTAGAGATGTTGAGCATTTTTTCATGTACTTGTTGATTGACTGTATGTCCTCCTCTGAGAAGTGTCTGTTCAGGTCCTTGGCCCATTTGTTGATTGGGTTGTTTGTTCTCTTATTGTCTAATTTTTTGAGTTCTTTGTATACTCTGGATATTAGTGCTCTATCTGAAGTGTGAGGAGTAAAGATTTGTTCCCAGGATGTAGGCTCCCTATTTACCTCTCTTATTGTTTCTTTTGCTGAGAAAAAACTTTTTAGTTTGAGTAAGTCCCATTTGTTGATTCTAGTTATTAACTTTTGTGCTATGGGTGTCCTATTGAGGAATTTGGAGCCCGACCCCACCGAATGTAGATCGTAGCCAACTTTTTCTTCTATCAGACGGCGTGTCTCTGATTTGATATCAAGCTCCTTGATCCATTTTGAATTCACTTTTGTGCATGGCGAGAGAAAGGGATTCAGTTTCATTTTGTTGCATATGGATTTCCAGTTTTCCCAGCACCATTTGTTGAAGATGCTATCCTTCCTCCATTGCATGCTTTTAGCCCCTTTATCAAATATAAGATAGTTGTAGTTTTGTGGATTGGTTTCTGTGTCCTCTATTCTGTACCATTGGTCCACACGCCTGTTTTGGTACCAGTACCATGCTGTTTTTGTTACTATTGCTCTGTAGTATAGTTTGAAGTCTGGTATCGCTATACCGCCTGATTCACACTTCTTGCTTAGCATTGTTTTTGCTATTCTGGGTCTTTTATTTTTCCATATGAATTTCATGATTGCTTTCTCTATTTCTACAAGAAATGCCGTTGGGATTTTGATTGGCATTGCATTAAACCTATAGAGAACTTTTGGTAATATCGCCATTTTGATGATGTTAGTTCTGCCTATCCATGAACAGGGTATATTTTTCCATCTTCTAAGATCTTCTTCTATTTTTCTCTTTAGGGTTCTGTAGTTTTCATTGTATAAGTCTTTCAGCTCTTTTGTTAGGTTGATTCCCAAGTATTTTATTTTTTTTGAAGAGATTTTGAATGGAGTGGTTGTCCTCATTTCCATTTCAGAGGATTTGTCGCTGATATACAGGAATGCCTTTGATTTATGCGTGTTGATTTTAAATCCTGCCACTTTGCTGAATTCATTTATTAGCTCTAATAGTTTCTTTGTAGAGCCTTTTGGGTCTGCTAGATATAGAATCATATCATCTGCAAATAGTGATAATTTAATTTCTTCTTTTCCTATTTTTATGCCTTTAATTTCTTTCGTCTGTCTAATTGCTCTGGCCAGTGTTTCGAGAACTATGTTGAAGAGAAGTGGAGAGAGAGGGCATCCCTGTCTTGTTCCAGATTTTAGAGGGAATGCCTTCAGTTTTTCTCCATTCAGAATGATGCTAGCCTGAGGCTTAGCATAGATTGCTTTTACAATATTGAGGTATGTTCCTGTTATCCCTAGTTTTTCTAGAGTTTTGAACATAAAGGGATGCTGTACTTTGTCGAATGCTTTTTCCGCATCTATCGAGATGATCATATGTTTCTTATTTTTAAGTCTATTGATGTGGTGAATAACATTTATTGATTTCCGTATATTGAACCATCCTTGCATCCCAGGGATGAATCCTACTTGATCATGGTGTACAATTTTTTTGATATATTTTTGTATCCGATTCGCCAGAATTTTATTGAGGATTTTTGCATCTAGGTTCATTAGAGATATTGGTCTGTAGTTTTCTTTCTTTGAAGTGTCTTTGTCTGGTTTAGGTATCAGGGTGATGTTGGCCTCATAGAATGAATTTGGAAGTTCTCCCTCCTTTTCTATTTCCTGAAGTAGCTTGAAAAGTATTGGTATTAGTTCTTCTTTAAAGGTTTTGTAAAATTCTGCTGTATACCCATCCGGACCTGGGCTTTTCTTAGTTGGTAGTCTTTTTATGGTTTCTTCTATCTCCTCAATTGATATTGGTCTGTTTAGGTTTTCTATATCCTCCTGACTCAATCTGGGCAGATCATATGACTTAAGAAATTTGTCTATGCCTTCACTATCTTCTAATTTATTGGAGTATAAGGATTCAAAATAGTTTTTGATTATCTTCTGTATTTCTGAAGTGTCTATTGTGATATTGCCTTTTTCATCCCGTATGCTAGTAATTTGAGTTCTCTCTCTTCTTCTCTTCGCTAGCATCGCTAAGGGTCTGTCGATTTTGTTTATTTTTTCAAAGAACCAAGTTTTAGTTTTGTCAATTTTTTCAATTGTTTCTTTTGTTTCGATTTCATTAATTTCAGCTCTGATTTTAATTATTTCTTGCCTTCTACTTCTTTTGCTGTTGTTTTGCTCTTCTTTTTCAAGGATTTTGAGATGAAGTATGAGATCATTTATTTGTTGGTTTTTTCTTTTTTCGAGCCGCTGGGCCTGCTCCGGGGGCTGGCGGAAGCCCGGCTCCTTCCCTCTGGCTCGAGGACAAATTGAGGAGACTCGGGTGACTGAGCCTCACCCCCCTTACCAGGAGACCAACTGCTTATGTCACCGCTGGTATTGATGAAGATCTCTCCTCCACCGCTTTCTGCTGACATCAGATCTCTGCCATGTTGGTATCCTATGCGAATGGCAGCATTTCGTTCCCCTTGCCGGGCAACCCAAGCAACGGGTGAGTCCTGACCGGCCCTCAGC